CTCTCTCTCTCTCTCTCTCTCTCTCTCTCTCTCTCTCTCTCTCTCTCTCTCTCTCTCTCTCTCTCTCTCTCTCTCTCTCTCTCCGTCCTCCCTTCTTCAACTTCTTCCCCTCTCGCTCTCTTCCTATTGGCATGATTTACCATGACCTTGTCTGCAGGGACTGCTGGTATGTGGCACTGGTTGGCGAAGATAAGAAGTTACAGCTTATATATGAGTACAGGTCAGTGGATCGAATGGAGATTCCCGTATCGTTTCAGGCTGCTTTGTCATAGTGCTTCATAACACACACAAATGGACGACCGTCCTCTACGCAAAGCAGGGGTCGACTCCACCTTCTGATCTCATGTATCGATCCAACCTTGACTTGTGACAATCGTAACCTCCTTCCATGCGACGAATAGGCCTCTACTCATCCTAGCAACACATATGGAATATGCCTCTCTCTCGTACTTCCTGTTGCATGCCCTCACCATACCCGTCCTCCCATCACCTCCTCCAATGTTCCGGCTCGCTTCTACCCCTTCATCTGCTCCTTCAAATGCACTATCCAATATTCCGGCTCACTTCTACCCCTTCATCTGCTCCCTCAAATACACGCCTTCTACAGCATGCACTTGCCCTGCCAAACCTCCCTCCTCCGCTCCCATCCCTCCACCCTACTCCATTGATCCCCCCACCTCCCGGTGCACGAAAAAAAATATTTTACCCTTTTACTCATCATACACTCTCAGGAAATTTACTCCGTCGAAACACTACCTCATTCTTGGCTGAAAACTAAGCCCTTGGCTTCTCATAAGTACTTAGTACTTACCCGATCCCGCTACTTGACCCAAGTCCTGAAGCGGACATACATAAAAATCTACGTGGAAAAATCTCTCTTTACAGGAAAAATGCTTCATTCCCACTACGTTCTGAATAACTGCAACCTTCAAATCGGCTTCACCATGATGGCTTTTTTTCTTAACAAGCATAGCGATGAAAACTACGAGCCTTTATTTTCGTCCTCAACCTCTTCTACCCCGAATCCTCTTCCTCTCCTCCCACCCTCACGTAGATCCCCTCCTTGGACAAAACACATCCCACACACAATTCCCACCCACTAACTACGGACTTGCTTTGCCTTACCCATCTCCCTCTCATGATCCTGATACTTTTTTTCCCCTCCCCTTTCCTTTTTTACTAGTTCTGGCCTCAACCCTAGAAGCGCTACCCCAAAGTTTCGTACTTCAAACATAATGTCCATAATCTACACCCACTTTGCCCTTCAACGCGGGGACCAAGGACCATGTACGCATAGATTAGATATGGCGGATCAATAATGTGAAGTGCAGCAAGTAGCAAGGTAAGGATGGAATGATGTATACAGTTGGGAAACGGGACAAGGGTAGCCATTACCAACCACCCTAAAAGGTGATGGCTATCTCAGATGTCCCTTCGATGAGGATGCTGGAATACTCACAGGGCTAGGATGACCCTGCTTCCCTTTTTGGTCTGATCAATCTTCCCTCTGCGGACTGTTTGTAGTAATTTGGGCTTCCCTTTCGTGTCCGTGTAGTCGGTCCGCCCCCTCACTGATCCGCTTAAACTGGACAGGCTATTAACCCTCCGCTTGCTGGCCTGTGGCTCTTCCCCGTGGCAGTTTAAAAATAACTACCTAGGCCATAATTACGGTAAATAATGACTCAGCTTAAGATTGCTATGGATGATGAACAATCATTTAAGTCCATTATGAGTGTAGTAACCTCCTACTGGATAATGGCAAAGATGATAAGGGGAGGTGATGATGGCGGATATGTGGAAAGGTTACATAGCGGAAATGGTCGAAAGTGATAATGCAGGGGATGACCATAATCATGCTGAAGGCAACAAGATCATAATTGGAGGAATGATCCTGATAATGAAGGGAATGAGGGTAGGAAAAAGGCATTAATGGCTGAAGGCGGGGATAAGGGCAGGCGAAGATGGCGGAAACAGCTGAAGATGGTTATAACTTATAATGGAAATCAGCTTAATAAGGTAATTGCAGCAGCTGATATTGATTAAAAAGAAGGTTGTAATAGCGGGAACGGTCTGGATAAGGGGAAGTCTGTTGGGGCGTCGCCAAACTAACGTCGTATGGCAAAAACTGCCGACAGCAGAACTGGGACAGAAGGTTACAATAATGGAACTGAATATTCCCCGTTCCCTCCCTCTCCCCTCGGCTTCTTCAACCCCGCCAAAAGATGTCTGACCCAGCACCTCTGTTCTATCTCCCCATATCCCTTGCTCGCCACGTCTGCATCACCCACCCCCATCCTATCCCATCAGTCCACCCACTTAGACCACACATGTGACAAATCTCCCGATGTCTATTTGCTCGACTTTCTGCTCACTACCCACTGTCTCTCTATCCTTCTACATGCCATGATTTCCTCGCAAACAATCGTCCTCAGAAGAAATCTCTCCCTTCCCCTCATCTCCCTGTTCCAAGTGTGTGTGTGTGTGTGTGTGTGTGTGTGTGTGTGTGTGTGTGTGTGTGTGTGTGTGTGTGTGTGTGTGCAGGTGTGGGTGTGGGTGTGTGTGTATGTG